TTGGTGTGGGAGAGGGGGGGGGGGGGGGGGGGGGCAGGGTTGGGTGAAACCGTGGGAGGAGGCTGGGCTGGACGACAGGTGAGGGTCGAGTTGGTCCGGACAGCGGGGTCACCGCCTCTGTTGGCTGTAGACGGGGAACGCCAGCGTGACGTTGAGCGAGTCGTTGTGTTGGACCAGCGACGTGTGCTGGTAGTGCAGCACCAGCTCCTTCAGGGAGCCGTACAGGTTGTAGGGCTCAGCGAAGCCGTAGCCGGTGCTGGTCTTGTTGATGACGCAGTGTTTGACCTCGCCGTCCACCCTGAGACGGAAGACACGAAAGGAAAGGTCAGGAATGAAGACGGGATATCTGTTTTCAACAAGGAAGTTTGAGGAGACGACTAAGGAGTCTCTCGACTCACCACTAGATGTACAAAGTGAGGCTTGGAAATATGTCATCTATTGTGGGCTGGGTGTACTGTTGTAGCTAACATTAGCTGAATTGTTTGTACCAGGACTGTTGTAGCTAATGTTAGCTCTGGTGTTTATACCAGGACTGTTGTAGCTAACATTAGCTGAAGTGTTTGTACCAGGACTGTTGTAGCTAATGTTAGCTCTGGTGTTTATACCAGGACTGTTGTAGCTAACATTAGCTGAAGTGTTTGTACCAGGACTGTTGTAGCTAATGTTAGCTCTGGTATCTGTACCAGGACTGTTCTAGCTAACATTAGCTCAGGTGTCTATACTAGAACTGTTGTAGCTAATGTTAGCTCTGGTATCTGTACCAGGACTGTTGTAGCTAACGTTAGCACTGGGGTCTGTACCAGGACTGTTCTAGCTAACATTAGCTGAGGTGTCTATACTAGAACTGTTGTAGCTAATGTTAGCTCTGGTATCTGTACCAGGACTATTATAGCTAACGTTAGCTCTGGTATCTGTACCAGGACTATTATAGCTAACGTTAGCTCTGGTATCTGTACCAGGACTATTGTAGCTAACATTAGCTAAAGTCCTTAAGCTAAGTTCCAGTAGAACAGTAGACCAGATGAAGAACCGATACTCACACCACAGAGCAGGCGTAGCAGCCAGATTTGCTGCTGTCTCGGACCAGGAAGGTACCGTCCCGCTTCCCTCGCAGCAGAGACTCAGCCTGGTTGCGGTTAATGTTTCCCAGGCGCCAAAGACGTTCGTCGTGGTGAGGGAGGTCCTCCTCGTCATCCACCATACTGTACTCACTGTGGGGGGAGTAAAAAAAAGTACTTTTAAACCAGATTCTAACACTCACACTCACACTCACACACACACACACACACACACACACACACTTACTCCTCTGTGGTGTCGTTTTTCAAACCGAGCCATTCGTTCAGTTTCCTCTGACGAACGCCTTTCTGAGTCAGCCACCTGTCGAACACAGACACGTTCACGTAGTACACAGATACACGGTATATTCACAGTACTGTACGTAGTATACTGTGTGTACTGTGTCAGACACCCACATGAGGTACTGGTCCCTGGTCTTGCGGAGCTGGATCAGGTCGGGTTTGATGCTGTTCATCTTCTTGTCGATCTCCCTGTAGTCGGCCGCCTGTTTCTTCAGGTCCACCTCTAGGTGGCGTTTGCTGTCTACAATCTCGTTGATCCGGGACTTCAGCTTGTCGTAGTTTTCCATGATCCTGGGAAGACGTGGGGAGAAAAATTCGCTTAGTATGTGGTTCGTCTGGGAATCGGACCCAGGACTTGCTGCTTCCGAGACATGGCGTGCTAACGGCAACACGTCAAACTCAATCGAAATCGATGATTTTTTAGGTTGGATACAAGTAATTTGTCGGCTTTAGTATACGTAATGTTAGCTCAGATATCTGTACCAGGAGAGTTGTAGCTAACATTAGCTCAGGTGTCTGTACCAGGATTGTTGTTGCTAACGTTAGCTCTGGTGTCTTTACCAGGACTGTTGTAGCTAACGTTAGCTCTGGTGTCTGTACCAGGACTGTTGTTGCTAACGTTAGCTCTGGTGTCCTTAATTTCTGTAAATTCTAAAGTATGAAATCATCCTCGAGTTCTGGTTTTTAACCATGGTGAGGCGCTGTTGGAGGTTCAGAATCGATGGCGAACTCTGATTACCGAGCTGGGACTAAAATCACCCGCAGGGTGTTTTTTTTTCCAGGTGGGCACTGTTGCCATGGTGATGGGGCTTAGCGCTCAAAGAGATGTCCGTCACGGTTGCCACGGCGACTGCCTACCTCTGGATCTCCTTGTCGTTGCCCTCTCGGCGGAACTTCTCGATGTACTCTTTGCTGAAGCGCTCCTGCGTCTGGCACTGCTCCTCGAAGATCTTGATGGTCTCGTTGAAGGCCTCGATGGCCGTGCGCTTCATCTGGATCTCCTAAAGAACCGAGAGAACGGGGGTTCAGTTTCTCAGGCGGGAACCCGGACGGGTCCAGTCCGACTTTCGTTGGAAAAACAGAACTAAATGATAAACAAAAGGAGTTGCCGGGCAACACTGCCCCCACTGGTGAGTAGGGTTCTGTCCTACTGCAACAAATCGGAAACCTCACAGTTTGTCACAAATCACACGTGAACTTGAGTTTTCAATCTGCAGCGATTCGGAAGCTTCAGGTACAAAAATCGATCATCGATATTTGTAGTTTGTAGTAGCGGTCGTAGTAGTACTTTTACGGTATGCAGTCATTAAAAAAATACGTACAATCCGAACAAGACACAAATGGAAGCAAACTGTTCGTAAACATCGCAATTTGTTGGTGTGGACTAGTGGCCCACAAATGGCGGTCTGTGGGCAGGATGTGGACCACGGGTTGAACACATGGTAAGAGGTACTTACTATAATAAAATTAAAAAAATAAACATCTACGTCGGTGATAATCAACTGGCGGCCCGCGGACCAAATCTGGCCCACTGTACCGTCCAGTCCAGCCCACGACTGGGTTGCAAAATAATGATTTTTAAATTGACGTACGGTTGGAGACCCATGGTCCACATGAAACTGAGACCAGTGACCGATGCATACCAGGTGGACAGGATGTGATCTCTGAACTCCTAGTACCAGGGGCGGTACGGTAGTATTTTGTTGCGTACCTGCGAGGTCCTGGTGTACTCTTCGTACAGCCTGTCGTACTCTCTGTTCTTCTCCTGGTACTGCAGATGGTACTCGTGGAGCTTCTTGCCCACAGCTTCGATGCTGTCCTCCTTCACCACCTGGTCCTGGGTCACCGCCACCGCAACCGCAACCGCAACAACAACAACAACAACAACAACAACAACAACAACAACAAAGACAAACAAAAAAAAAAGGTTGACAAAAACGACCACAACGTTTCTGTAAACACCGTCAACGACCGTGAACCACAGCCCCACCTGCTGGTGTTTGGAGACGGGGTACAGCAGCTTAACGTCCAGTTTGTGGTTGTACTGGGCCAGAGACTCGTGGCGGTAGTGGTTGATGAGCTCCACCACCGAGCTGAAGGTCAAGGGGTCAGAGAAGCCGTACTTCCCTTCGCGATGAAAAATCTTGATCAGTTTGTTGTTGCCTCCTTTCCTGTGAGAGAAACAGGGCAAACAGGTGAGAAACAGGGGAAACAGGGGGACCAGGTGAGAAATGGAACGGAACCATTGTACAACAGCGGAGCCATTCCAGGGCCGCGGAACCGTTCTACGACAGCGGAAATAGTCTACGACTGCGGAACCGTTCTACGTCGGCAGAACCACTGTACAACGACGGAACGACTCTACGACTGCGGAACTGTTCTACGACAATGGAACTGTTCTACGACAGTGGAACTTTTCTACGACTGCGGAACCGTTCTACGACGGCGGAACCGTTCTACGACGGCGGAACCGTTCTACGACGGCGGAACCGTTCTACGAGTGTGGAACCACTCTACGAGTGCGGAACCGTTCTACAACGGCAGAACCATTCTACGATGGTGGAAATATTCTACGACGGCAGAAGAATTCTACGACGGCGGAACCATTCTACGTCGGCAAAACCGTTCTACGTCGGCAGAACCACTGTACAACGGCGGAACGACTCTACGACTGCGGAACTGTTCTACGACAATGGAACTGTTCTACGACAGTGGAACTTTTCTACGACTGCGGAACCGTTCTACGACGGCGGAACCGTTCTACGAGTGTGGAACCACTCTACGAGTGCGGAACCGTTCTACAACGGCAGAACCATTCTACGATGGTGGAAATATTCTACGACGGCAGAAGAATTCTACGACGGCGGAACCATTCTACGTCGGCAAAACCGTTCTACGTCGGCAGAACCACTGTACAACGACGGAACGACTCTACGACTGCGGAACTGTTCTACGACAATGGAACTGTTCTACGACAGTGGAACTTTTCTACGACTGCGGAACCGTTCTACGACGGCGGAACCGTTCTACGACGGCGGAACCGTTCTACGAGTGTGGAACCGTTCTACGACG